AAAAAAAAAAAAAAAAAAAAAAAAAAAAAAAAAAAAAAAAAAAAAAAAAGGGTCCTCAGAAAAATCTGAAAAAAAACTTAAAAAAAGTATGTTATACAGAAAAATAAACTGAACAACTTTTGCCTTGGAACCATATCCAAATTCGCTGCCAATTTTAAAATAAAAAATAAAAAAAAATAAATTCTTTTTTTTTATACTTTTTTCGTGTTTTTAATTGCTAAAAATGGAGTTGTCCGGGCCCGGACGTCTGGGACCCCCCTGACTGTCCGCCCAGGATGTCCGGCCAGGACGTCCTGCCATCGGACAACTGGTAGCCTAGCAAAAAAGAGAATAAAATAAAAAGAAGAAGGGGTACCCCCCCGCTAACCCCATTGGGGGTATTTGAGACTGTAGCCATGGAGGAGGGGCAGATTGACACCTCCATGCAAGAGGACTCAGAAAACATCCAAAAGAGCTTGAGTGAATCCAACAGGAACTCCCCAAGGGCCTTTTCACCTCTAGTTGCAAAGATACCAGAATCGGTCAAACTCAGATCCGTGATGATCTGGAAACCTTGGAGAACGGTGAATGAGGTTCCCTACAGCATCCTGGCGGACGTAGGGGTATCAGCAGAGTTGCTGGCTACAGCCTTTGCCCGTATTGGTACAACAGGACTGCTGGAGGGGGATGAGGATCTGGATGCAAGAGCATACGCTACTAATTGCGAAAGATTCTACAGAAGCGATGCTTCAGACTGCGACTCATGGTATGGGGACGATGAAAAGGAAAAGCTGGACCTGCACCCCGAGTTGGAAAATGACGGCACTAAGGAGACGGAGCTAGACGGATCAGATACGGAGAAAGAGAGTTCTCTCTCCCCATCAAAAGACAATGGACCGGAAACTGATCAAAAGATAATCGGAGAGGGTGCGAGCATGGAACCCCCCTCCCCCCCCTGACTTAGAGAACCCCCCACCAATCAATCCCCCTGACCCGGTACAAAGGCAACCATGGAGAGCTATAGACTAAGGGCTAACGAGGCAGGGGATCACATTGATTGAAAGATTCAAGGGCTCGTCATTAGAAGTTGGAATGTCAATGGACTTGGGAATATAGTGGAAAGAGAAGAAAAGATGAACGATCTGCTGTCAGGGTTAACAATGGAAAACAGAAAAGTGGTGGACATTTTACTACTCCGATCTCACTTTCTCGATCGAACATAAGAGAATCTGCTCATTCCTGGCAAGGAAACTAGGAGGCCTGAACGATGAAATATGGCCAGCTGACCCCTCCACAAGCTCCAAAGGGACCGCAATCCTGATTCCCAAATCCTCTCGATTATATAAAGCAGGCTAAATTATAGACAAGAAAGCGGATCTGGCTGAAGGAAGATGGTGCCTGCCACACATTAAATGGAAAGAAGAGGAATTCATGCTGATGAACATATATGCACCGAATTCGACGGCGGAGAG